CCATTGACCCCCTCCTCCCCACTCCTGTCCCCCTCCTGCCTTTTCCCACACTATTGTCTGTGTCCATTGGTTATGCATATAAGTTCTTTGGTTTATTTCTTTCCACCCCCCCAACCCCTTTCCCTTTGAGGTTTGTCAGTCTAGCAATGAATTTGTACTCCTTAAACCCTTCACCTTTTTCACCCATTCCTCCAATCCCCCTCCCATCTGGCAACCAACAAAATGTTCTCTGTATCTATGAGAATGTTTGTTATGCCTGTTATTTTTGTTTGTAGATTTCATTGTCGATAGATATGTATTCATTGCCATTTTGTTTGTTCCTATATTTTATCTTTTTCTTCAAAAAAACCCTTCATCATTTCATATAATAACGGTTTGGTGGTGATGAACTCCTTTAACTTTTTCTTGTCTGGTAAAGTCTTTATATGGCCATCGATTCTAAATGACAGCTTTGCAGGATAGAGTAATCTTGGTTGTAGGTTCTTGCTTTTCATCACTCTGAATATTTCTTGCCACTCCCTTCTGGCCTGCAGTTTCTTTTGAGAAATCAGCTGACAGCCTTATGGGAACTCCCTTGTAGGTAACTAACTGCTTTTCTCTTGCTGCTTTTAAGATTTTCTCTTTGTCTTGAACCTTTTGCATTTTGATGATGATGTGTCTTGGTGTGGGCCTCTTGGGGTTCATCTTGTTTGGGACTCTCTGTGCTTCCTGGACTTGTATGTCTGTTTCCTTCACCAAGTTAGGAAAATTTTCTGCCATTATTGTTTCAAACAGGTTTTCGATTTCTTGTTCTCGCTCTTCTCCTTCTGGCACCCCCAAGATGCGAATGTTGGCACGCTTTAGGTTGTCCCAGAGGCTCCTTACTCTCCCTCATTTTTTTGGATTTTTTCTTTTTGCAGTTCTGATTGGGCGTTTTTTGCTTCCTTATATCCCAAATCGATGGTTTTCTTCTTGGCTTTACCTACTCTGCTATTGAATCTGTGTAAATTATTCTTTATTTCAGTTAATGCCTCCTTCATTTCTGATTGTGCATCCATCATTTCTGACTGGTCCATTTTTACGCTCTTGAGGCCCTCACTAAGTTTGCTGAGGTTCTAAGTTCATTGAGCATCCTTATAAGCAGTATTTTGAACTCAGCATCTGTTAGGTTGCTTATCTCCATTTCACTTAGTTCTTTTCTTGGGGTTTTGTTCTGTTCTTTCATTTGGGACCTGTTTCTTTGTCTCCTCATTTTGGCTGCCTCCCTGTGTTTGTTTCTGTGTATTACTTAACGAGAGGTATGGGGCTAGCTCAGACCAGATGCTGCTTGTTTGAAAGAATTTAGGAACACCTGAAGCAGGATCCAAGACAGGCCAATCCTATGGTTAAGCAACTGGCAACAACTTGGGTGGGCCTGAAAGTTGGGTGGGGCGGGGCCTCAGGGAGTCACCAGGGCGGGGCTACCAGTGTGAACCAGGTTGCTGGAGTCCCAGATATGGCTTCTGTCTGCTGCCCCAGGGAAGGGCTCACCAAAGGAACAAAGGCCTCTGACAGCATGTTTGTCCCCGAGAAAGCCCCCTCTCCAGCCCTCGCTCCAGTGCCAAACAGCTCAGTTCTTCCCTGTATGTCTCTGGCTCCCCTCGAGCTGCCTCCCCTCCAAGCTTAGAGGGAGAGAGTCCGATAAGTCCGTGCGCGGGCCCTTTAAGGAGCTGCCTGGGGCTCCAGCCGCCTCAGCCTCCCTGAGCCTCAGTTCCCGCTGGATTTTCCAGCCAGAAGTTATGGGGATTCTCTTCCTGGCACTGAACCCTGAGCGGGGCACCTGGTGTGGGAGGGGACCCCTCAGTCCTCAGGAAGGACCTTCCCAGCCAAGGTGTCCTCCTGATTTTTATCCGCCACACGTGGGTGTGGGACCAGCCCGTCCCCTCCGCCCCGTCCCCTCCGCCCTCCTACCAGTCTGGATGTGGCTGCTGCTTTAATTCCGTAGTTGTAGGACTTCCATTCAGCTGGATTTCAGGCGGTTTTGAATGGTGGTTGTTCTGTAGTTTAGTTGTAACTTTGATGTGGTTGTGGGAGGACGCGATACCGTGTTTACCTACCCGCCATCTTGACCGGATGTCATACTTTAATATCTTGATAGTTTAGAATATATAGTTGTATACATGTCAAAACTCTTTAAATGTACACTTACAATTCATGCATTTCATTGTATGCACATTTTACCTGAAGAGAAAAAAATGTAAAAACAATAAATTCTAGTGAAGAAATGTCTGTTAAAAACTGTAAGGGTGGCCTAAAAAGAAAAATCAAAAAGAAAACTTAAGAAGAAAAATAAATTTAGTAATTTTGGGGAAAAAATTATAAGCTAACTCAAGTTTATGAAGAAACAGAATGACTCTTGCACGTAGCCACGTCTCTGGCTTGCTCCTTTCTAGTCTCATGAAATGCACTTTTGAGAGAAAGACCTTCTCCGGCAATCCTATTTTAACAAATGCCCCCAACTCCCTCACTTTCTATCCTTGTGTCCTGCTTAATGTTTCTGCATGACCTTTAGTATCACCACATGAACACATGTATTTATTATGTCTCTACACCAGTGTAATAAAAACTCCAAGAGTGGTGGGGGAAGGAGGGTATTCTTGAACACATTATTTCATTTCCAATGTATCACTCAATTGTAATCAATGTGTGATTTGAAGTAGATTTTAATGAAATGGTGTTAGGCCTTAAAGGAGTAAACAAAAATTATACTAAAAAAGATGTTTTCATTCTCTCACTCTCTACCTTTTGGTCTCTGCCTATAGGGAAGCTGGAATTTCCACTGAAACATACCCATTGCACAGATTTGGCCCCTCTCCAGCCTTCACCCTCAGCAAGGAAGAGTGACTCATCTAGTAAGTCAGAATTTGATATTAATTTGGCCACTTTTTTTTAGAGCGTGAGATCACTGAGTTAAGCCAGCCCATGTGCTTGTCAGCTTGTCTCCTTTTATGTAAGGAGACCTATCAGGTCTTGACTTTCTCGGGGCTACTAATAATTGGCTGTGTTAAGCTCGTCAACAGGCCTCATTTGTGCTACATGCTGGGTAAGGAGTCTACAATCCGCTTAGAAAATCTAGTGTAGTCTCTAGGTAGCACGGGCAGACTCTGGGTGGTAGGTTTCAGCTGAGCCATGTTCTCCAGCACAGTTTTCTCCTAAGAATCTTGAATTTAAGGTTTTAGGAAGCTTGCATAGATTTTAAAAGCTTGTATCAATGTCCCATTTGGACAATAATCATTCAGTATATACTCTATCAGTCAAAATACCAAATGCATTCTGAATGCCTAACTCAAGAAAAAAAATAGACAAATAGATTTTAAATATGTTTTTATTGACTTTTTTAGAGAGAGAAATATCGATGTAAGAGAGAAACATTCATCAGCTGTCCCCCGCATGCCACCTACCAGGAATTGAGCCCGAAACCTGGGCATGTGCCCTGACTGGGATCGAACTGGGACGTGTCTCAGTCCATGGGACGACGCTCAATTGACTGAGCCACACCGTCAGGGAAAGGAAAATATATTTTTTAAATTATAAAAATAACGTAATACTCCATTGGTGCAAAAATAACTTATTTTAATAAATTTGTCTTTAACACAAGTGTAAAACAATATTCCTGCCATTTCAACTACAGTCAAACCCAAACTTCAAAACTAAGTCAACAATTAGTAACATGTTAACTGTAAAAAGTTCTTAACTACAAGAGTATTAAATATAACAAAGAATTCTTTAATATTTAATGCATTCTGTCACAATATTAAAAATAAACTTCTTAGTATCCAAAAGCTATTAAAGGTCCAAACCCACCCCCAAAAAAAATTTTTAGCAAGTAAAAGTATAGTCCCTACTGATGTTTGTTTTGTTAAAAATGTTTAAAACAAAAACTTATAATTTGAGTACTTCTTAGCTATCCAAAAGTACTGGATACATACTAATTCTTTGCAGGTAGACAGGTTCACAGTCTGGATACAAGAAATGTCAGTCACAGAGTTTTAAAGTTACAAATGCACTCTTAAGCTAGAAAATAAAGCAAGAAAATCTAAAAGAAATCAGATCTAATGTCATCACTCTTCACTCAGATGGACTACTATATAAGATTTTAGTTTGTTTCTTCTTGGTTAGCTGGTTACTGACAAAGGCCCAAGGACAATTCTCATTAGAGTGGAGCATTTTCACATAAGGGTAATTATTTTTAATTTAAAATAAAATTAATAATATATGTACATATAAATGAAATATAACATAAATATATGCAAACTAGTCAAAGATAGTTCATCCAGAAAACTGAAGTTTCCATTAAAAAAGAGACATAAAAGGAAACTTTTTAAATTGAAATACTTTTTGTTGAATATTAAGATGATACTACCATCAATGTATTCAAACCAACTACGATCAGAAAGAAGATGATGTGAAATGCTGAGAATAATTTCTCCTACTGTTAAGAACAAATGTGTTTTAAAGAGAGAGAAAAACATATAAGCCCCTCATATAAAACTTACAAAACAAAACATAGGATTAGTAATTTATTAAAAATTACACTCCTGATTTTCTTTTGAGAAGAAACAACATAAACAAGGGCATGAAACAGACTTCAAGACTCATACTAATACTCTGTTCTCACTGAAAAAAACCTACTAGAAAAATACTAATAAAATTTCAGATATTTCCATTTAACGTGGACAAAATATACAATGTTTATATCTGAAATATAAACTAGTAATTTATTTTCATTTGTAATATAAAGTGATTTAGGTAAAGTTTACTCTTCCAAGTGTTCAAAATTAAACAGAAATTGTTTTCTATATCTGGAAATTATAATGTTAATGTGAAAAAGTTTAATTTTGCTGAAGTGAAGCTCAAATAGATTTTAAAATATATAAATAAAAAGGATTTAATTTTTGTAATTTTACAATGATAGGTTTACTTTCTCTAACATTAAAAAAAACTAGCCTGCTTTTATCAATATAAAACTATAAAATCACAATAGAATATTTTTATATAACTTATAAAAACAATTTCACATGATACACTCATAACACTCAAGAATTACAATCCAAAAAGGAATAGTATCTCTGAGATAGAAAGAAGCTCTTTCTTTTTGTCACCTCCATTCCTTATATATAATCTTTATTTCACATCATTTACAATAGAAATATTTATCACAATCTGACAGGTAGATAAGAAATTTTTTGGCCTTCTAAAACTCAAGTAAATTTACTCAGTCTTCTTAGTGTCTTTCTTTTTAACTTTATCTGAATTACCAGCTATAGATTTTGAGGTTGATGAATCAGTACTTCTGAAAGGCGATTTTATTTCATTTTTCTTTTCATGTGGAGAGATCTGCTGTTGCCAGCCAAACAATATCCGACTCACTGCATCCTCAAAAGGAGCAGAAGACACGGTGGCAGTCTCTGTAATCATCATGACTATCTGGAAAAAAAAAGTTCAATTTTGAATTTAAATACAAATGTTTGCTTTCTGAAAATTGAGAGGGGAAAAGTAATAAATGAAGAAAAAAATTCAAACTGTGTTCTTTTTTTTTATTTAGGTATAATTGACATATAACATGATGTTAGTTTCAGGTGTACAACATAATTCCATATATGTACATACTGCAAAATGATCGCAATTAGTCTAGTTAACATCCATCATCATAATTACAAATTTTTTCTTGTGATGAAAATTTTTAAGATCTACTTACTCTCTTAGCAACTTGCAAATATGCAATACAGTATTATTAACTACAGTCACCATGCCCAATGAGTTAATTAATTTATAATTGGAAGTTTGTACCTTTTGACCCCCCTTCACCTATTTGGCCCACCACTACATCCTGTCTCTGGCAACCCCAATCTCTCTTCTCTGTATCTATGAATTTGGGTGTGTGTGTTTTTTTAATTTTTAGATTCTATATAAGTGAGATCATACTATATTTGTCTTTCATTGCTGACTTATTTCACTTAGCATAATGCCCTGAAGGTCCATGCATGTTGTCACAAATGGCAAGATTTCATTCCTTTTTATGGCTGAATAATATTTCATTTATACATATACACTATATAGTTTTTATTCATTCATCCACTGATGGACACTTAGATTGTTTCTGGCTATTGTGAATAATGCTGCAATGAACATGGGTTGGCATGTATCTTTTTTACTTCAGCGCTTTTGTTTTCTTCAGATAAATACCCAGAAGTAGAATGTTAAATCATATGGTAGTTCTATATGGTAGTTTTAATTTTCTAAGGAACTCCCACACTGTTTTCCATAGTAGCTATAACATTCCCACCTACAATAAACAGGGTTCCTTTTTCTCCATATCCTCACCAAGACTTATTATTTTGTCTTTTTTTATAATAGACATTCTAACAGATGTGAGGTGATACCTCATTATGATTTTGATTTGTATTTCCCTGATAACTAGTGATGTTGAGCGCCTTTTCATGTACCTGTTGGCCATTTGTATGTCTTTTTGATAAAGAAAATATCTATTCAGGTCCTTTGCCCATTTTTTAATTGGGCTATTTGGTATTTTTTTTCCTGAGTTGCATAAATTCTTTATTTTATTTTACTTTTTTTTTTTTTTAATTTTAAGCCTTTATCAAATATATGATATGCAAATATTTTCTCCCATTCAATAGATTGTCTTTTCATTGTGTTGATGGCTTCCTTTGCTGTGCAGACGCTTTTCAGCTAGATATAGTCCCACTTGTTTATTTTTGCTTTTGCTGCCTTTGTTGTTGGTGTCAGATTTTAAAAAATCATAACCAAGACCAATGTCAAGAAGCTTATTGCCTATGTTTTCTTCTAGAAGCTGTGTTTTCTGTTCCTTCACTCAAGTTTTTAATCAATTTTGAGTTGATTTTTGTGTATAGTGTGATATAAGGATCCAGTTTCATTTTTTCATATGTGACTGTCCAGTTTTCCCAATACCATTTATTAGAGACTATCCTTTTTCCATTGTATATTCTAGGCTCCTTTGGTTTAAATTAATTGATCATTATGTGTGGGGGTTTATTTCTGGGCTCTCAATCTGTTCCACTGTTCTGTGTGTTTATCTTTATGCCAATACCAAACTGTTTTGATTATTATTGTTTTGTAATATAGTTTGATATCAGGGAGTGTCATGACTCCAGTTATGTTTTTCTTTCTCAAGAATGCTTGGCCATTTGGGGTCTTTTGGGGTCCACACACATTTTATGGTTGTTTATTCTATTTCTGTGAAAATGCCATTGGAATTTTGTTAGGGATTGGATCAAATCTGTAGATTGTTTTCAGTAGTATGACAGTACACCAATGTTAATTCTTCCAATCCATGAATATAAAATATTTTTCCATTTATGAGTCTTCTTCAATATTTTTTATTAATGTTTTCAGTATAAAGGTCTTTCACCTCCTTAGTTAAATTCCTAGGCATTTTATTCCTTTTTATATAAATGGCATTATTTTCTTAATTTCTCATTTTGATAGTTATCCATGTGTAGAAATCAAATTTTTATATATTGATTTTGTATCCTGCAACTTTACTGAATGTTTTTGGTGAAGTCTTTAGGGTTTTCTGTATATAATATCATGTCATCTGAAAATACAGCCAGTTTTACTTCTTCCTTTCCAATATGGGCACCTTTTATTTCTTTTTCTTGCCTAATTGCTCTTTCCAGGACTTCCAATACTATGTTGAATAAAAGTGGGCATTCTTGTCTTGTTCCTGATCTTCACACTTTCAGCTTTTCAACTCTGATTATGATGTTAGCTGTGGGCTTGTCATATATGGCCTTTATTATGTTGAGGCACATTTCCCTACACTAACTTTGTTGAGAGTTTTTATCATAAATGGATGTTGAATTTTGTCAAATGTTTTTTCTCCATCTACTGAGATAATCATATTATCTTTTTCTTTTTCACTTTGTTAATGTGGTACATCACAGTGATTGATTTGCTGATCTTGAACCATTCTTACATCCCTTGCCATAAATCCCACTTTATCATGTTCTATCATCCTATTTTTTAATCCTCACTCAAGAACATTTTTGCATTTATCTTCAGATAGAGAGGGAAGAGGGACAGAGAAACATCAATGTAAGAGAGACAACATAGAGTGGTTGCCACCCACACGACCCCAAACAGGCTGGGGACAAACTACAACTGAGGTACATGCCCTTAGCAGGAACAGAACCCAGGACTCTCTGGTCCGCGGGCTGACGCTCTAACCATTGAACAAACCGGCCAGGGCCTATAATCCTTTTAATGTATTATTGAATTCAGTTTGCTAATATTTTATTGAGGTTTTCTGCAATTATATTCACCAGGGATATTGGCCTGTAATTATTTTCTTGAGGCAACCTTGTCTGGTTTGGTATCAGGGTAACAATGGCCTCATAAAATAAGTTTGGAAATATTCCCTTTTCATATTTTTTTGGAAGATTTTCAAAAGAATTGGCATTAATTCTCCTTTGAATATTTGGTAGAATTCACCAGTAAAACCACCTAGTCATAGACTTTTGTTTGTCGGGAGGTTTTTGATTACTGATTTTAAAATCTCCTTACTAGTAATTGGTCTGTTTGGATTTTCTATTTCTGCATGATTCAGTCTTGGTAAGTTGTATGTTTATAGAAATTTACCCATTTCTTCTAGGTTGTCAAATTTTTGGTGTATAAGCATTCACAGCAGTCTCTTATAATCCTTTGTATTTCTGTTGTATCAACTGTAACATCTCTCCTCTTTCATTTCTGATATTTATTTGAGTCCTCTCTTTTTTTCTTGGTGAGTTTACTACAGGTTTATTAATTTTGTTTATCTTTTCAAAAAATCAGATCTTAGTTTCACTTATCCTTTCTACTTCTTTTAGTCTATTTTAATGGTTTTCAACCACTGTGCCACAAGAATTTTTGAAACATGCAATACCTGACAATTTAGTCGGGGGCATTGACCTCTTTTCCCTTAGATTGTCAAATTAAAAAATGACAATAGCCAACACAACAATAGCCATCTGGTATGAATGAGTCAAAATTATACCTATTTTATGTCATATCAACAAAAAATATATTTCTTGGCATGCCACAGAATTTTATAAATTAATGTGTGCCATGAGATGAAAAAGGTTGAAAACTGCTGGCCTATTTCATCTATTTCTGCTCTGATCTTACTTTCTTGTTTCCTTCCTTCTACTAACTGAGCTTTATATGCTCTTCTTCTAGCTCCTTGAGTGGTAAAGCTGTTTGAGATTTTTTGCTTCCTGAAATATGCATTTATCGCTATGAACTTTCCTCTTAAAACTGCTTTTGCTGCATCCCATAAAGTTTGTTATATTGTATTTCCATGTTCAATTGTCTCAAAATATTTTTTATTTCTATTTTTATTCATTCTTTGACCCACTGCTTGTTTGGTAGCATGTTGTTTAATTTCCATATATTTTTTAATTTTCCAGCTTTCTTCTTGTAATTGATTTCTAGTTTCATACCAGTGTAGTTAGAAAAGACACTTGACACTATTTCAGTCTTCTTAAATTTATTAAGAGTTGTTTTGTGACCTAACATATCATCTACTCTGAAGAATGTCATATGCATTCTTGAGAAGAATGTGTATGCTGTTGCTTTTAAATGGAATGGTCTGTATATCTCTGTTAAGGTCATATAGACTAATGTGTCATTTAAGGGCAATGTTTCCTTTTGATTTTCTGTCTGAATGATCTATCCATTGATGTAAGAGAGGCATTAAAATTTCCTACCATTACTGTATTGCTATACATTTCTCCCTTTAGGTCTGTTAATATTTGCTTTATATATTTAAGTGCTCCTATGTTGTGTGCATAAATATTTGCTAATGTTATATCCTCTTTGATTGACCCCTTTATCATTATGTAATGCCTTTCTTTGTCTCTTATTACAGTCTTTGTTTTAAAGTCTATTTTTCTACCCCCGCGCTTTCTTTTGGCTTCCATTTCCATGGAATATCTTTTCCCATTCCTTAACTTTCACTATGTGTCCTTATATCTGAAGTAAGCCTCTTGTAAGTAATATATGAGTGGGTCTTTTTTTTTTTTTTAATCCATTCAACCACTCTATGTCTTTTGATTGGAGAATTTATTCCATTTACATTTCAAGTAATTAATAATAGGCATGTCATTTTGTTAACTGTTTTCTGGCTGTTCTGTAGTTCCTTTCTATTCCCTTCTTCCTCTCTTGCTCTCGTCCTTTCTGGTTTGGTGACTTTCTTTAGTGGTATGCTAATATTCCTTTCACATTATCTTTTGTATATCTATTATTAGTTTTTGCTTTGTGGTTACCATGATGCTTACATCTAGCAGCTTACATTTATACCAGTTTATTTTAAATGGAAAGAAAACTTAAGTTTGAACACATTCTAAAGCTCTACATTTTTACTCTGCCCTCCCCCCAAGTTTTTATCTTATGTATCCCTTAATCATTGT